GAGGCCAGCATACATGTCAGATCTCCTTCAGGTATCTACGCCCAGCAGGGCTCTGAGATCCTTAGGAAGCAGTCAGCTGGTAGAACCGGGTCAGAACCACACAGGGTGAAGCTGCTTTTAGCTACTGTAACGTGAGGAAGTATGGGTTTCTGTGCCAAAGGTCGTATTTGCACGGCTGGGTCAAAGCTGGGTCACGCAGCACCTTCACCCACAGATTAAGACCTGAGCCGCCAGCAAGTTTGAAAGAATTCACAACATCCAACACCTGCTCTCCAGAAGAAGGACTTCACACAGTCTAGTCATAATAAAACAGTCTGCATGCACGCATTCATAATTCCATCATCCTCAATCTTAGCACATCCAACACAAGGTCTATTTGAGCAAGCTTAAAATATCACCTGTTAAAGATTGTCCAACAAGGTTGCCAAAGTGGATCGTTTTTCCTATGATTGTCATTTTAAATCGTTAGTTTAAATTGAAGAATTAAAACTCTTAAAATTTAAACTTGCCTTTTCATTGAACTGAAACACAGACAAACGGATATGATCGTCAGTTTATCGATGAAAACAACCTTTGAGTCTTCTTATTTCTATAACATTTGGTTATTAATTTGTTAAAATTAATATTCCAGATTATTATGTAGAATGGTTCATCTTTCATAAAAGAGCCAACAACCATTACGCTACACTACTATGCTGCTCACAGATGGAACCAGCTTCCTCATGACCTCAGATCTGTCCAAACTCTTGAAACTTTTAAATCAAAAATGAAAACCTTCAAGTTTTCATCAGCCACTGAATAAATATTCTCATGCTGCACCTTCTGCGCTGTAGCTGCTCACCCTTTAACTTTCTTTCTTGTAAATTTTTAAATTGTATTTTCTGCCACGTTGATTTTAATGTTCTTGCTAATGGAAAGCACACTGAAATGCCTCTGTGTGTGAATGTGTTATAGTTATACATAAAGCTGCCTTGCCTTGGTCTCTAGGGAAAATGAATGCCTTGCAGGCATAACTCAGGGCACAAATAAACCCACAACCGGCCAGCTCAGCAGGGCCAAGTCTGTCAACATCACAGGAGGGCCTCAGACAGCAGGATGATATCTGGACATTACTCCTCTAACCCCAGCTTTCCACTGGCCATGAACGCCGTCGTGTAACATGAAAGTGGCGTTTACCTGCGAGCTTGTTGCCGACACGGAGCAATGCTGACATGAAACGGGAGTGAAGGTGTTCCACACAGCTGATCCCGTGACGTGACGAAAGCACAGGACAATTGCAACACCAGGTGTGGTTTCAGACTTTCACGCACAATAATGAAGAAGAAAACCAGCTGCATGCATGAAAAAATGTCTGTGGGTTATTGTCCGTTCTCTTTACATCGGTCGAAGAAGTTCACAAGAAATGATGTACTGCATGCGACCTTTATTTTGAAAGTTTCCGGATGTTCTACTTTGCTTTTGTGTGTGACTTCCTGTTTGACTCGGAATTTGACGTGTTTAGGTAAATGTAGAGCGTCAAAAATAGACTTCAAAAGTAATGATAGCGTGCCCTCGCTTGGGGGGGGGACCAAAACATCAGCCGCCGGTGAACAGGAAGTCCTCCACTAGGAGACTATTTTCCATCAGAAGCTACTGCAGGAGACAGGTGTAGGAGACCATTTTCATGTTCAGCCTGAGTGAAACACTCAGAGTGACCCGTTAGACTCAGACATCATAATTAACGCGTTAGCATTCCAGAGTCCCGCCGAAGGGACAAAGCCCCATTGCTTTCATTAAACCTGGAAATTTAAGGGGTTAGGACTGGTTTTCAGTGCTCCACACCTTTAAATAAACCTTAAATGTTTCCAACTTTAAACGTAACCTTTGCAGCTTTGAATTTAACCAGATCCATGTTATGAGTTGAGATATGGTCCACAATACCCAACAACGTGTACGACCTTCGTTGTTCATGTGCAGATTTTCTGTAGAGTACTCTCACCCCTTCTTTCCACGGGAGCCGTCAGCAGCACGTTACTGCAGCAGCACGTCTTGCTCGCGTAAGCTGCTGCTTGGCCCTTCCCACGAGACGCGGAGCAGCAGGGGAGCAGCTGTCACCGACCGAGCACGAAGTCACACGAGTGACTTCGTCAGTAAACACAACAACAAGCAGGAGAAAACTACAACATGGTTTGTGTTTTATGTTCTGTCCGTTTTATAATCGCCAATACGGACCTGAAAAACAAAGGAGACCGCTAGCTAGGTGATAACTTCTCACGGGGACGCACAGTTAGTAACTTGTTTTTAAGTAAAGCAACCTGAAGGCAGTACGTTCTTTATTCTGAAAATCTCGGGAGCTTCTCCCCATTTCCGCGTCAGATTTCCTGTCTTTCCTTCCCCAAAAATGTGGAACTTGACCCGTTTCAGAGGCGTCGCGCGTAGAAAATAGAACCGGCGCGTAAAGGCCGCGACATGCTGCTCCTGAGACGCGGCCGACTCGCGCTGCTGACGGCTGCGGTGGAAAAGGTTCTGCTGACCACAGCGGTTCCTATCAGCAGCTATGACGCGCTGCTGCAGTAACGTGCTGCTGACGGCTCCGGTGGGAAGAAGGGGTTAGATGCGTGTCGCCAGACTTCAACACAATAACTAAATATGGCAGTAAAGGTGTGCAGTAAGGGATGAGTAGTAGAGGTTCACATCCAGATCAGTGTTGTTTCAGCTAACAACAACATGACTTACTCATTTAGTTGACGCCCGTTTCCATAACGACGAGACGCTGACGAGCTAAAACAATGCTGCAAATGTACATTTCTGCCCATCTTGGTTGCTTTTGCCTGCTGCCACCTTGCCTAAGAGCGTGAGAAAAAGCTGCTATAAACCAAGTCTGCTGAACCAACGTGAACTAGTGGCCATAATAAGGATGGCCTAAGTTCAACATTTGTTTATATGTTTGTTCTGGTTGGGGTTAATATTAGTTTGAGTTCGGATTATACCTGCAAACTGGGAAGGTGTGGAAAAAACTGTTATTTTCTGGTGATTTTGTTTGATTTGATGAACTTTGAGCTCTAAACGACAGAGAAGTTAAAGCGACACCACTTACTCACTGTGAGCGCCGCTCCGCCTCGTCTCCTCGACTGGGATTGTGACTGACGCACTAGAATAAAGATCAAAGACAAACCCCTCCTTTCTCTGATTCTCATACAACGTGACTGACCTTTCAGACTGGGGAAACCTGCACGGTAGATCTGAAACCGTTTGGAAAGTCTTATAACAAATACTTGTACGACTGATTAGATGAGAACTGTGGAGGTAAAGAAACGGGCGTGTAACCAGTAAACTTATTCTACAGCATAAAACATCCATTCTGCTGTGGTCCAACCATAACTTCCACATCTGACACGCTCCCCGTGAGGACTGGGATTGTGTGTGTGTGTGTGTGTGTGTGTGTGTAAAGAGAGAGAGAGACAAACAAGAGCAGGTAGGTCCTACCTTAGCAGCGTTATTGGCGTGATGTTTCCTCAGAGAAACGCGGCTACGTCTGATTCTCCTGAAGGACTGTCGGAGAGACTTCTTGATGCTCTTCACTCTGGACAGAGGACCTTCGAGTGCCAGCTGGTCACTCGGGTTTAGGGTGCACCTGCAGTGTTACACACAAACACAGTCAAATGTTTCATAAACCCATCTAGTCTGTGACCTGACGCAGCCCAAACAAGACAAAACTGCACATTTCAGAGGACTGCACAGCCTTATGCCAGGAGTAGATTCAACCCTACACACAACACCCCATAATAACAACATGACAAGTCTTTGTTTTTTTATACATACATTTATAAAGATTTGTTAAATAAATAAATGACATGCCACCTCACAAGTGCATGTGCTTTCTCAAGCTCAGGCGCTTCCCGTTTTCTTCACCAGCATCACAGAACCCCATGGAGCCCGAGGTCGCCAGCTCAGCGCCACCACAGCAGAATATCTACTCCCAACCCTGCATGTAATCAACGTCCAGACTTCATAAGACACCCAGGCAGAGCTGGATCCTCACCCTCCCCTGTGATGGAGTAGAAGTATTCCTGCCAGTTGAGGAGGTACAAAGGTTGACTTGAACCCCCGAGCCAGGGCCAGGCACCGCCACATGCACCCACCCATGCCACCAGCAGCATACAAGCCAACGCCCAACCCCCCAGGTCCTGCTCAGACCCCCATCTGGGGACAAGCGCTCCCAGAGTCCAAGCCCCAGATCTGTGGCCATCGTCAAAGACCTCCCACAGGTTTGGTGTGAGAGTACCGAGAATGCTGGTGAAATAGTAACATCATCTGCATAAAGACTGATTTTATGTTCTATGTTCTTACACTTCATGCCTTCGATACCTGTAGCCCGCCTGCTGCTGCTGCTAGTGGTTCAATAAAGATCGCAAACAGTGCGAGTGTGTGGCGGGGAGGGGGATCTCTGTCTGGTCCCCTCTGAAGACAGGAGCTGATGGGGGGCTGATGATCATTTATCCTGACACAGAAAACTGCCTGCTGTTTAGCTGTGACGCCGGCCCCTAGAGCCCGACTCAGCCTTGCCAGGTACCTCAACGGAGCAGGGACTTATGATGGGGAGAAAGTAGAAGGAAAATATGAAACCATGCCCTTGGGAACAGTGGTCAGGCCGAGCTGCATCGGTCCGAGTTGCTCCGAGCAGCGTTCCTGGAAAACCAGCTATAATGAACCTGCAGGCTCCCGAGCCGCTAAAAAAACTGCTAAATGTGCACACGCTGCATGCTAAACACACACATGTGCAGCTTGCATTTTCAGTCAAAATAATCTTGATCATCATTTTTGCCATAACCGAGCAGCCCCACATGCAGCTACATGTGTGCTCTGTGGGAGCAGGTCTAAGCCTCCAGGCCACACCGTGTTTCCTCCTGCTGGAGCCGTGAGGACAGAGTGCATCAACTGAATTGTAACAGCGGTTATAAAACTTTCACCACTCATTAACATTGTTCAACGCGTTTACCTCTGAGTCTGATTGCTTGCCCTTTCATGGAGGTTGCACTCCCAGGCATTGTTGACCCTGATGGCCCTCCGTTTGTAAGGTCAAACCCAAAACTACTGTTAGCTAAATGTCGCACTGATTTATGTATGCACCGCTGCCCAGCCAGGGGAAACACACACAGTCGCTTTAACAATGTTCTAACATGGTATAGCTATAAATATTTAATGGAGTAGGGCTGGACGATATGGAAAAAAATCTTGTTGATCGATATTAATAATTATTGAAAATTATAGAAAATACATTTTAAGTGCCGCCCTGACCATCTTAGGCCATCACGTTATGATAAAACAAGTTGGCGGTATCACCAGACTTGGTTGTATGAATTCTCCGTACATTTTTTAAACCATTGTTTGTTTATTGTCATACTTGTAAGAATGAAAATGCAGCCAGGTTGGTGAAGTGCTGGAACCTTCTCAGGACAGTTTCTTCCACCTCTCCTTGCTGCAACATCTCGTTTAAGTCACGTTGCTGTGTGTTTAGGTTTGAGAGGGGAGGCCTTGGGCCTGTGCCTTTGACTGGTTGGGTGTAAGGAATGACTAATATGAAGCTACTCTAGACGAGGATGGAGAAAGGAAACTTTTTATTGATCCATTTTCTTCCTATTGAACCACACAGCCCTATTGTGGAGATTAAAAAACAAAGACATTAATAAAGCGCCTCGCTCACATTGGTCTGAATACCTCTGACAATAACGTGTTTTGGACTGAAAGCAACTATTGGACCATCTGGTTGTCCGTCTCACCGAACCACCGCACTTCCCTGGGTCCTCCACTCATCACACACTCACGTACTCGGCAACAGAACACCACTGGTAGAAAGGTTCTCCGCTCAATTATAGAGCAGAAGAAACCTTCATGGACAGGATTTCTAGGTGCAGCCAAGGTGTGGAGGGCATCCGTTTTGGTGGCCTGAGGATCAGGTCTCTGCTTTTTGCAGATGATGTGGTCCTGTTGGCTTCATCAGAACATGATCTTCAGCTTTCACTGGAGCGGTTTGCAGCCGAGTGTGAAGCAGTTGGGATGAGAATACGCTCCTCTAAATCTGAGACCATGGTCTTGATTCGGAAAAGGGTAGAATGCCTTCTCCAGGTCAGGGATGAGGTCCTGCCCCAAGTGGAGGAGTTCAAATATCCCGGGGTCTTGTTCACGAGTGAGGGAAAGATAAAGCGTGAGATGGATAGGCGGATTGGTGCTGCATCTGCAGTGATGCGGGCGTTGTACCGGTCTGTCGTGGTGAAGAGCGAGCCGAGTCAGAAGGCGAAGCTCTCGATTTACCGGTCGATCTACGTTCCTACCCTCACCTATGGTCATGAGCTTTGGGTAGTGACCGAAAGAACGAGATCGTGGATACAAGCGGCAGAAATGAGTTTTCTCCGCAGGATGTCTGGGCTCTCCCTTCCCTTCGAGATAGGGTGAGAAGCTCGGTCATCCGGGAGGGGCTCAGAGTAGACCCGCTGCTCCTCCACATCGAGAGAAGCCAGTTGAGGTGGCTCAGGCATCTGGTCAGGATGCCTCCTCCTCCCTGGTGAGGTTTTCCCGGCACATCCAGCTAGAAGACCTAAAGGAAGACCCAGGACACACTGGAGGGACTGTGTCTCACAGCTGACCAGGGAACGCTTTAGGATTCCCATGGAGGAGCTGGCTCTAGCAGATGGGGAGAGGGAAGTCTTAGGCCTCCCCACTTATGGGCCATTCCCATCTGTACCGGGTCGGCCCGGGCCGGGTAGCGTAGGTTGTTTACATATCTGGGTGGCCTGGTATTTTTCCGGGCCAACCAAGGCTCATTCTCAGCCCTCTTCCCGAGGGGGTCTGCTTCAGGCCGACCAGGGCCAACACACCCACTGCTGACAGCAAATTCACACCTTCCATTAGAGCAAGCCTCTGATTGGTGGGTAGAATCAGCCCACATGGGCTTAAGACAAGGATGTGTGGAATCAACCGGGCCAGGCTGGGGCCGACTGGGGCTACCTGGCCCGGGCCGACCCGGTACAGATGGGAATGGCCCATTTGGCTACTGCCCCCAGAGCCCGACCCCGAAAAAGTGGCCAAGAATGGATGGATAGATGAGAGAAACAGCTCGCTGCTACCACTTCAACTTTAGGATAAACTACCAAAGCCTGAAAAAGAAAAATGCTGTTGGAAGTGACAGACAACAAAAGATGTTTGGTAACCCGGGTGTTTGGTTCCAACAGATGTGTCTCAGTGAAGATACACGAGGTGAGTGTTCTGTGACTGTGTTTGCATTTAAAACCTAGCTTGTTCTCTAGATCTCTTACAACAGCTTTCAAGTACAAGTCACACCCTCTGACTGGAGACTTACTCCACCCGCACTTCCTGATTGAAAAATGTCCCTAAGTCTGAGGCAATGAAGGACCGCAACTGTAGCTTCTGACAGAAAACAGACGTTGAAACTCTAGGATCAGAAAAGCCTGACAGATCTACGTCACACTGTCACCAACACTCATGGACTCGCCCATCTGGACTCATGACGGGGAAGGTTGTTGTTGGTTTAGTCCAGGAAGCAGCAGAGAATGCCTCAGCTAGTAGAAGTTAACTGCTAGCGTTAGCAACTCCACCACACAGCAGAACTCTTCCAGGCTTGTGTTATTGGTGGAGATAATTAGAAATATTATTTCCTGATACAGTGGGATACGAAGGTTATGGCAGCCTTGCTAATCTTCATGGTTTAGCTGTATAAACGGTTGGTTGTTAGGATAAAGGAATTCCAGTTTAATATATCATATAGGAGACACACACAGTGATATGTGAGAAGTTAAGGTTGGGTTATGCTTGACGCGTCCGTGAGGTCCGCGCGGCGAAACTGCGTCCTTTTAACAACCACGCCCCTCCACCGCGCCTCCGCACGGTCCAAACTTTCCGAAACGCGCACCTAGGAAATGTTCTACCACGCGGACGGCCGGACACGGAAAAACATGGCGGACTGGAAGGAACTAGTATGGCAGAGGTTGTTAAATCCAGACATTTGTATGATTCAGCTCTCAGAGATCACCGTGATCAACATGATGTTAATAATTCTTGGAGAGAAATAGCTCGCACTGTCGGAAAAGACGAGGACGCTGTTAAAAATGCTGGAATACCATGTTGTAAACAGTAATTTCTACTTCTACTATGGTGTAGTGTTGGATGCATGCCGTAGAGCTCCATGCTGCCCCCTACAGTTTGGGAGAATATTGGCTCACCGCAGAGACAAGCCGCATGAACCATAAACGCTGCGAGTTGTGAAGCGCGTTCCATCCGCGAGCCGCATCACCGCGCGGAAAGTGAACGCGTCAAGCATAAACCAAGCTTAAAAAAGCCCACAGATTTACAGAAAGTGTGCAAAAACGGTTTAAGCAAAATTAGGCAGGTGCATACATGTGGGCACTTTTGTCATTTAGATTCCTAAACCTTTAGAAATAATTATTGGGATTTAAAGTTGGATTGGTAAGCTCAGTGACCCTTGACCTCCATACACAGGCGAATCTAACCATTTTAAAGGCATCTTCCACATGAAACTTATGAAGTTCTTATACTGAGACTCACATTTAGATTTTCATTAAAAAAAAGAAGATGTGCTATTACTGTTCCAAATGGGAGCACGAAGCTCCAAATTCTGAATACAAATATGTTAATGCTAAATACTGAAGGTGCAGTTCTGCAGAATAGTGGAACAAGAACTTCTATCTGCTATTGCCTCTCCTTTTAACCTCTACGTGTCCCTAAATAAGAGACAGATGGGACATTGGTACACCTTCATTTATGAGGCCATGCTTGGCGGCCTTATAAATGAAGACTGTTGAGAGTTTTAATGTTTTAAATCGGTTAGGTTGTTCCTGACAGCAGCTACATTTAACTCATTCACTGCCAATTTGCATTTGCATGTTTTTACTGTGTGGGCGTCGGACGAGCCCCCGCACCGTGAGAACAAACATCTCAGCTCTAAAGCCGATCTTCATCCGCGTACGTCACACGTCACGAGATCAGGAAGCAGAAAATCCATGTGTTAGGAGATCGTTTTGGGCCGCTGCTGTAAAAAAAGTGAGGCGTCGACATCATTCTAGCGCGCAACGTTCTGCGACTCTTAAAAAAAAACCCAGTAAAAACGGCGGGTAACGCTGGCAGAGAAGGGCTTTACCTATCAGGAAAAAGGCTGGCAGTGAATGGGTTAATGTGGCCTGAGAGCCGACCACAACTAACAAATAACGTTAGACTACCGCTTACATGCTTCAAATGTAAAGCCTGGTTTATGCTTCTCCGTCAGCTCCGCAAGGGACAGACACGAACGGATTGACGGAAGCGTTTTGCTCTCATACTTCTCCGTCTCCTGAAGAGTGTTGCAAAGCAATTCCCCGGCAGGACAACAGAGGGCGTAGCGTTGTTCTGTGGTATCCTGTCATGTATCGGTCCAGGATAGTGTGTTTATATTGTGTTTTTTGTGTATATAAGAGACTTTTAACACGGACACATTTGTCTCTCATCCTCCTCCACCGCTTCATGCGCTCCCCACCTCTAAACCCACGTTTCCTGTCATTTCCGTCCACAAATAAAACGCTTGCTGCGAATCTTTTCACTCCTCCAGTCACGGGAGGATGAAACGTTAATTTTTTTAGAGTTTTTTCGCGAGGTATTCTTCAAGCTTCCCCGTGTCTGCCGCTAGTTATCCTCGGCTCTCTTTGCAATGGCGGCGCTGTAAACAACAGCGGCGTCCTGACCAATCACAAGCTTGCGTAATCCGTCTCGTTCGACGGACGTTTAAAAAAGCGGGCTCGACTCCGTACGTACTTGCGTGCCCTACGCAAGGACGGATAATGGCGTTGCGTGTCTCCGCACTGACGCAGACGGAGAAGCATAAATCAGGCTTAAGGAAGTACCTCGGCTGATGCAGAGTTGGTGAACTTTTCACGGACAAGCAAGTCTCTAAAATATAAATATATGAGAACCCAACATGACATGAGAATAATACTCGTAAAACAGACTCTTTTAGCTGTTTGTCGGCTACAGAAGCACGTTTATAAACAGAAACGTGAAGTCGCCATCTTAATAAAACAATTCTAGAGATTATTTGTGTGACATGCTTGTCAGCTACTAGATGGAGCCATCGGATAAGATAAATACTCTGGAAAGAGGCTTTAAGTTTCACTTTCCCTTCTGACAGAATGGCTGCTGCTGCTGCACGTAGGTGTAGGACAGGATCGTCCTTAGGGGAAAGCAGCTGGACTTCTCTGGTTGTGGTGGAGACTCGAGCCTCTCATCCTAGAGGCTTCTTCAGTTCCCAGACTTGGTTGTGGTCAGAAACAAACATGCTGGTTGTGCTCCAAGTCTTTTTCTCTTTGTCAACAACATGGTTTTTAATGCAGGTAATGTTATTGTTTATAGGTTAAAATTCATGCTGAAGTTCAGATTCTTTCATCAAGTAGGACCTGTGCTAAGCTGGCTCACCTAAAACTTTAATGTTTTTGGATCCTGCCTCTTGAAAGAATCGGAATCGATCGAAACCGGAGTCGACAACAGGAATTAGAATCAGAGTTGTTCAAATTCAAACGATGCCCAACCCTAGTTGTGAGTAGAACTTTGAAGGAAATTTTGAATTGAATTGCTTTTGAACAAGGCTGTCACATAACTGATGTTAGAACCAACATTCGTGTCTCACCTGACAAAGACGTTGTTGTTCTGTTGGTAATCAAACAGGCCAAAGCCGTGGCTGGTCCCAAAGGCCACCAGCTTCCACTCCGAGTGCAGACTGAGAGCTGTGACCACAGCAGGGGGCTGGCACTGGACCAAGGTGAAGGGCTGGAAGCCTGCAGGGAACTCCACTGGATCCTCCCGGACATTCAGCCGAGTGTGGCCCTAGAGGACAAGAGACCAGGCGAACCGTGATGTAGGAGACTTCATAAGCAACAGCAAGTGACGAGTCGTGTTCATTTTCTTAAATCTGATTCCCAGACGGTTCACTTTACGGTTTCAGCGTTCAGTCAGAGGAGGTCTTTACCTTCCAGCGAAATCCTTCTTGGCCCTGCAGCAGGTCTACGACCTTAGTCTCCACCGTGTGCTCTGCTGCCTCGTCGTTCGGCTCCAGCATCAGGATCTACAGAGATCACCCAGCACCAGGTGGACACAGAGACCGCCGTGAGACCCTGCCGGTATTACCATCACTACACAGCTGCTCCTTCAAATGGGTGGAGGAACAACGGCTCATCAAAGCGGCCCCTTAAGGCTAGACAAATGAACAATGGCCAGACTGAGCTAGGGGTGAGCAATAAGACTAAATAAATGGAAGTAGGAATGGACGATATAAACTGATGTGGTAGAAATTATACAGCTAGCTGCTGGTAGACATTAACGAGGCTAACCTTAACCCTATGAACAGAATCGGTGACAAAGGGCAGTCTTGGCGGAGTCCAACTCTCACTGGGAACGAGCTCTGCTTACTGCCGGCAACGCGGACCAAGCTCTGACTCTGGTCATACAGGGTCCTAACAGCCCGTATCAGAGGGCCTGGTACCCCATACTCCCAGAGTGCCCCCCTCAGGGCCCCCCGAGGGACGCGGTCTAACGCCCTCTCCAAATCCACAAAACACGTGTAGACTGGTTGGGCGAACTCCCACAAACCCTCCAGGACCTAAGGGTATAGAGCTGGTCCAGTGTTCCACGGCCAGGACGAAAACGACATTGTTCCTCCTGAATCTGAGGTTCAACAATCCGACGGACCCCAGACCGCTGAATAGACCTTACCAGAGAGGCTCAGGAAAGCGATCCCCATTTAGATGGAACAAACCCTGTGCTTTTTGAATAGGGAGACCATCACCGTGGTCTGCTAGTCCTGTGGTCCTGCCCCCGATGTCCATGCAAAGTCTCATCTGTGGGAATGCAAATTCCCTTGCTCGAACTCGGCGGGACAGAATAGGACTCAGCTTAGCAAGAAGAGAGCGCGAACAAGAGAACTGACGTGAGAATCCAGGGTGAAGGCTGCGTTAAAAAGCAGCAAAACATCATTTTACATGTAGTTACTCACTACTGAAGTGAAAAAGCTGCTCAAGCAAGCTACACTTGGGAAAATAACCATTTTCTTTGAGGCTTCCTGTAAAGTCTGAGAATGTGATGTCTTCAGAAAATGTTTAACATCTGCTAAGATCCGAATGTCCAGAGCCAACTCCAAAATGCTCTGAAACATCTCCTACTTGTTTGACTGGGCTATGAGACCTAGAACAACCCAGGTCACTCCAGAGGAGCCATAGCCCCAAACGGTTTCTGGCTGCATTCGCGCATTTCCCTAGCCTGACCAGCCAGCCACATGCTTCCTTATGGCAAGTAAAGGCTCTGGGAACTCTCCTATTCAAATAACCCCAACCCCTGAGAAATCTAAGAGCCAATCAGCGCTGAGCAGCGTACCTCACACACCATAATGCCAAGTTTGTCATAAGCATGGCGTCTGAAGCGGAGTCAGCTGCGGCTCTTTCCTCTGTTCTAAATGACTTGGACACGTCTTTAAAACCACAACAAGAAGAAGCTAGAAGCCTTTCTTCTAAAGAAAGATGTTTGGGCCGTAGCCAGACGCCATTTTTGACTACAGCTAAAACCACAGCGACGCGCGGTACAGTGATTGGTTATTATTGAGCTTCCTAGTCCCGCCCCTCATGTGCCTCTCTGCCTGTGAGGAACCAGACTAGGTCTCTGTGTAGAGGACGAGTCTGGCAGCCCAGGCTAGCTTTTCCCAGCCTCAGTGACTCGATGCAACCTGCTGGGTTCCTTATACAGGAAACTTGTTACCGATTGGCTTAATGACCTGACCTGTGTTGGAATGTTTACTGTGTGAAGGTCCTTGAGACGACTTGTCGTGATTGGGCGCTTTATAAATAAACTGGATTGAACTGGTAGTCCGGTGGCTAAAGTGACCGGTTTGACTCCTGGTCCTTTGTTTCGCTACACTTGTCAGTATTTTCAGCTCCTTATTGGTGAACTAGTTAGTAAATTAACTAGTCTGTTTTACCGCTTTGCTATGTAGCCGGTGCGAGTCCACGTGAGCTGAGCAGAGCAAACCAACTAAAATGCTGCTAGGAAACGACCAAACTCAAAGATCTTTAGAATGAACTATTTGGTGGTTTAACCCCCAATCCAACCTTTAAAGCCGAGAGTCAAGCAGAGAGGCATAGATGCTAACCCTTATACCGTTTAGTCCAGTCTTTCCCAACCCTGGTCCTCGGGTCCACTGGCCTACATGTTCTCCATGTTGCCCTTTTACACACCGGTGTTTCCCTGCTGCTACACACCTGACTCAAGTGAATGAGTGATTAACCGGCATCTGCAGCACTTGATGCTAACACTTACTGTGTAGTCTGACACTCAACAGAAAGACAGACTTAACGTCCATCTGTTGTTAAAAAGCAAACCCCTCATTTCTTGTTTACTGTTGCTGTGGGGACCAAAAGCCCTCTGCTCACTGAACACAACCAGTGATGTTTCATCAGGACCACAGAGTCGGAAACAGAAAAAGCAGCAAAGATCTACAGGAATTACGAGTTTTTCTGATTTAATCAGGACTGAGGAGGTCGGCCGTACAACTATGAATGGGTTAGGGTTGGGACTGAAGCTTCAGTTGAGCGTGTGATCGCTGGCTTTAAACAAGTCCGTTTCCATCCCAGCTGAACCTGTGAGTAGTCACCTGTCCAGCGGTTCCTGCTACAGCCAGGTGGCCACTGTATTTACACAGATGGATCTTCTGAATGCCCAGCCTTGGGTCGTCACTGTAAGGGTCGAAACATCCAACCTGAAACCAAACAGCAAGTGAGTTATGCTCCAGTAGGATGGTCTTTAAAGACAGCTTTCTAAAGCCCAAAGTGGGACGGTCGACTCCTGCTGACCAGCGGCATCCCACAGCAGGACGGACTTGGTGGTTTGTTAAATAAAACATGAAAAACTGTCAAAGACAAGAATGAGTTTGGCTCCTGTTTAACTCTGTCCAACGGTTGGGTGAGCTTCAACTAATGTCAATTCATCACGATGACCTCGACAAACAACTAGTCTACCGTAAATCCTCTAATATTGGCCTGTATTCCATTACTGGGCGGGTCTCCTACATCAGCCGGTCTCGCTGTCAGCGGGGGTAAATAAAGGCCGGTGTCTAATAGTGGCCGACTTTACGGCTCAAACCTAACCGCGGCACAAACCCAGCTGCAGTTTGGATGACTTTAAAGTACTACTGATCTTAAAATGTTGTAATAAATAGCGTACTTACCCACTGTTAACGAATTAGAGTCTCACAAAACATGACGGCAAGTCTGATCACGTATAAACAATAGACACTTCCTGTCTGCTCTGTCTTCTTGATCCCCAGTGAGTCGTGGAGGATGGCTGCTTATACTGAGCCAGGATTCTCTGGAGGTTTCTTCCTGTTAAAAGGGAGTTTTCCTCTCCACTGTCGCTGCATGCTTGCTTAGTATGAGGATTGCTGTATAGTCACTGACACTAGTCAGTGACTTGATGCAACCTGCTGGGTTCCTTATATAGGAAACTTGTTTCTGATTGGCTTAATGAACTGACCTGAGTTGGAATGTTTATCATGTGAAGGTCCTTGAGACGACTCGTCGTGATTTGGCGCTTTATAAATAAACTTGAATTGAATTGAATTGCTTCCTGTTCTCAAGTCCCGCGTGATGTGACGATCACACGACTTTCCAAGAAGCGCTCAGCGGCGCAGCGCGTGCTGTGTGACCGCTTGACTTCTCTAAATCGTGGGCACATCCGCCTATGGTGCACCCCAGGGTCTATTTACTGGGTGACTGGGTGTAAAAACGCCCACGCTCCGTGCGATTGGGACAAAAACAAGAGTTCATTTTTTTTGTGTCCCGGAAGCGGTGCACCACAAAGGACTTACTGAAACTTACTGAAGGAAGACGGAACAGTAAATCATGACCTCCGGCTGCAAGATGAGTAGAAACAGAACATGCTTCAGTTATCAGTGATAACTTCATCACAGGCAAGGGTTTACTAAAGGTGTTCATGGCGTTTTATTGAACAGCTTAGAAACGCCGCTACAAAAACAGCAGGTAAACAGTTTGATACTTTTGTCACGTGTCCTCACTAGCTTGTAGCGTGCTAATGTTTTTAGCAGCTAGCTCAGTGGTGTAAGGTAGAACTGCGGAGGATGAGGATTAAACAGTTGGAAGATCTTTTTTTTTTTTTACTTCTAACCAAACGAGAGAGGAACGGTTAAACTTTGGGGCGGTAAGGTGTCTGTTGCCTTTTGTTGTAAATCAATAACCTAATTATCACCAAGTGTTTACAATGCATTACCGCCATGTTTGCCACCATACTGGGATTTAGCCTGAAACAACGGTGTTTGTTGTTCTATATCTATACGTACAATGGTAACTGTGCATTTTCACTAACAAACCTAGTGTTTATAGGTTCAGTTAGACAAAAAAAATCATGTTTTCATTTTTTCTACTGGTAGTTTACTTTGCTCTAATTGAAATTTAGTCATGTCTAATTCTGGCCTCCTTCCAATAAAGGCCTGAACCAGGATGTGCTTGAGTAATTAAAGGCCCAGGCCTGTATTAGAGGATTTACGGTATAGTAAATTTAATAGTCAACGTTGTTTATTTTATGAAGCATTTTTTGTTCTTTCCTGTGGCGACACCGCTGCTGCTTTCCACCTTTCTGCTCGAGGCACGTGTGCAGTAGCGGCCATCCGGGCGAGCCGTCACGTCACCAGAAAAACAAAACATGGTGAGCCAGCAACGTAGCTCAAAGTTTACACAGAAAAAAAGAAGCACGTACAGTCCAAAATCTACCAAGTGGAACTCTCCTTTCGGGGAGCACAACAGTGATGCACGTACACCTTAAGAGGAAGCACGTGGCAGCGGAGGACGAGGGGCAGTCGCCTCTGTAAGCTAGTTACCGCTCCTCAGCTGCTAACAGCAGAGTTGCTTGTATTTGTAGCTGTAATAACAGTAGTGATGGTGATTTTATTACTTTTAGGACATTTATGTCACGCATTTGCGCTAACGTTACAAACACTAATGATTTACTGTATCCCGCTACGTTGCAGTGCTAAAAAAAAGCATTTAGCATCACTTGTAAGTTGCTTTGGACAAAAGCGTCTGCTAAATGCATACATAAGCATAAATGAATACTAGAGTGAGTGATCTGACGGTGAGTTAGAGAACAGAACCTTCCTGAACGGCGGCCACTCCCCCTCAGCACTTGGGTTCATGTTGTCGTTGGGATCAGCATCAGTGTGGAAGGCTGTAGCAGTGCGCAGTGTGTACATGGGCTTCAGGCACACTCCTGATGCGTCCCAGAAACGGACGGTTCCGTCCTCGTGTCTGCATGCAAGAACAACCAGTTAGGTCTGCAGGGGTTCACAGATGAGGCAAGTGCAGCAGGACCCACCCTGTGAGCAGAAGGTCTCTCTGTGGAGGGTCAGGGGCCAAGTTCTGGCCTCCCATTATTGGCCAAGGCTGAAGAGAACCATGTGGAAAACACAAAAAGACACAGCAGTTAAAGACCAAGTCACTGGCTTTCTCAACACCTCTGCGGTAGTCTCAGGTGTAAATGATGTCTGTGGCTCCGGCGCTCCTGATTCAGGAGGCAGAAGTGAGCGGAACGCAGCAGGATCTGGAGTCTTTTTCCTGACATCTCACTCCTGATTGGATAACAGCAACAGCACTCTACCGCCGACTCCCTCTGCTCTACAACACCCACGCTGGGACACGACTAACCCTGACCCATCTCCACAAACAACGCAGCAAGCCAAGATGGGCGAGTCCATGAATGTGAGGTGGCCGTGTGATGTAGATCAGGGTTTCGGGGGGGGGGGGGGGGGGGGGGTCCAAAACGGCAGCTAGCGTCCTTTTAAAGGTAGTCATCAGCCAACACTCAACGCCTGAGGCTTAATCTTAGTTTGGACGTCCGTTGCGGTGCCTGAATAAGTTAGTAGAATGATGTCATGAAATTCTTCCAATCCAAATGGACATAATCCTCCTGGACCTCCTTTCCCCTTCTCTACGTTACCGTTCCTGATCTTCCACCCAACCCCCCCCCCATGTCCATCCAAAATTATGCCCAACAGGCCCTTTTCCAACCCACCTCTCCACCCGCCCTCTGGACCCTATCCCATCCACAGTAGTAAAGCCAGGTCCTCCACACCTCACTCCACGTATCCTGGAAATAATCGACTCATAACTCAATGTCTTCAGTTTTGTGTCATTTTTAGCGGCGTTATTTATTTTTTGTCGTTTTTGTCGTTAGACAGTATTAAAACAGACACCGCCCATGCCTAGCAGGGTTCATTTATGATGCACTCTCCTACACCCGTCTCCTGTTAGGTGACAGGTGTAGGAGACTTTCATGTTTGGTCCAAAACTATCATTAAGAAGGGTTTTAAGTAGGGCTGAGCGAGTACACCACTATCTGTATCTGTATCTGTTCAACCAACTAAATTATCTGTATCTGTACTCGGAATGGGCGTGGCATAACCCAGAAATGGGCGTGGTTTAACCAGAAGTGGGTGTGGTTTACATCAACAGATTATTTTAAGTCTGAAATTGATATGGATTGATCAGAAGTTGATATGTGTATTGTTTATTTGAAAACTATTTACAGAGCAGCCTCAGAATTGAGATTAAATATTTTTGATCACAATAGTAAAGAAACTATTACAGAACAAGTGTTTCAATAAAATCAGAACATTAATATTTGAGTGCATGGATTAATACATCTGAACTCATGCAGTAGGAACTAGGAAATATGAAATGCTAGAACCAGACACACTTTATATATATTTTTTAATTTTAATTTGATTAAACTGATTTTTTCTTAACGTTCTTGGCATTTTGCCCCACAAAGTTAAATAAAACAATGTTGATTGAGGTGTGTGTGTGTGTGAGAGAGAGAGTTAAAAAAAAAAACCTGACCGGAGCGGAGGTAGTGACAACAGCACGTCAGCTCTGTCTTGTCAAATGCACCATGTCAGTTACGAAAAAAGTAACTTTAAATATTCAACTGAAAAAGAGGCGAGCTGAAGAAAACCTAGGGAAAACTGAAGAAACGTGAGCAACAGTGAAGCCATCACAGCGAGATCCGTTACTGTCTGTGTGTGTGTGTGTGTGTGTGTGTGTGTGTGTGTGTGTGCGTGGATGAGCCGGACGGACTGAGCTCCCGGCTGGCTAGAGAGTTTTGAAAGTAGGGAGGGGCGGGCGCTCTATGTGACTGGCCAATCACAGAGCGTGAAGACAGTCAGTTACCCAATGAAGATTTTCCTTCAGCACGATTACAGATATTTACGAGGTTTACTCGTCTCATGCTCGTATTCGTCAAACATGCTTTATCCGTACCGGTTACGCGTCTGAAACGAGTATCTGGCTCATCCCTAGTTTTAAGTGAACTTGGCCTTTAAAAAAGGAAACGACCACATTGAGATGGAAAGCTGGGCTAACTTGTAGGAAGGTTGAGTTCCCTGGTTGGGAAATTTTGCGAGGTTTTTTTGAGTATTAAGAGTTAATAAGCCCCCCTCCCAGACCTTTTTAGAGTAGTGTGCATTCTGCAGCTCTCCAGAAGTGATGATCCTCTCCCACAGTTTAAGGGGGATGGCAGAGACATGGTGGGAGCAGGTGATGGCTGAGCTGTGGAGGGGCACCAGGTAAGGAGTCTGAATAACAGGCCAGCCTTCTGTCTGCAGGTCAATAACAACCACCTCCTCTTCCACCAGGACCACCAACGCACTGGGATCTCCTGGGACAGAGAGAGAAGACAGGTACATCCATCACTTCACACCAACTCTACCATGACTCCCACTGCCTCTCCTTTCTGACCCACCTCCCTTAGCAGCTCTTCTCTGCTTTTATAGCATCATTGGCCTTTCTTCCCTGCCGCTGTTAGACTCTATAATAGCCACTGCTAAAGAAACCCATACATCTGTAACATGCCATCACAAATATCTTTCAAGACGTGCAATTCTACTGCTAGTCTCTTTATCATGTGCAACAGGTATCTTCATTTACGATTGCTATATACGCTTGCATGATGTCCTGTGCTGCTGCTGCCTTCCTGCTGTACCTGAGCTGTTGCAGCAATGCAGTTTCTCCACTGAGGGACAAAGAAGGGTATTCCTATTCTTATTCTGTTCTTTATGCCTAACCCCTGCATCACTGTGAGTCAGAAGGTCATTAGAGACCCTAAGAAGAGCTGTTTCAGTAGAATGAGCTCTACGAAAACCTGACTGGAAGCTATCATAGATGTTATGTTCATCAAGAGCAGCTGTGAGTTGTTTAGCCACAACCTTTTCCAAGATCTTGGAGATGAACGGAAGTTTAGAGATGGGTCTGAAGCTGCTATGGAGAGAGGGGTCGAGACTCGGCTTTTTAAGAAGCGGGTGGATTACAGCGTTCTTAAAGTAAGCAGGGACCTGACCAGAGACCAGAGGACAGGGTCGCCCTCTACTGCCCGTGTCCTCCTCGCTGACGACACCGTCGCATGCGTGATCCAATGTGAATCCTTTATAGTCTCTGTTCATGGTTTTGTGTCCACGTCTCCTTGTTTCTATCACTCCCTCGATCCAGCTTTTGTATTTTTGCTTTCTGATCCGTGTTTTGCCCCGGTCCGTTACATCGTTTATCGTTTTTATTCTTGTGCAGTGGTCAGACGACGGCTTTATGGTGCTTTCAGCTTCCTGTCTGGCTGCTCTTGTGTGTCTGACTGGTTTCTGTCTACAGCACACGGATCATAGACGCAGAACCACCAAAGTACAACAGATGGACCAAAGAAGAGAGAAATAAGTCATTCCAGAACCCTGAACAGAGGCAGTTTAAACAGCTTTTAAAAGGAGGCATGTGTGACGCGGTAAAACATCGGCTCCTGCTCAACTATTAAAACCACTAATGGTGAAAAATGTCTAAATAGTGTACGCACAGACGGGCTAACACTTCTGGTGGAAACAGTCGGCGCTCACTTCATTCATCCCTCCAGTCGGGCTCTGCACCGTCCGTTAATGAACCCGTCCTTAAGCCCAGTCTGGACTCATCTCAGCCTAAAAACTACAGACCCGTCTCTAAATGACCCTTTATCTCTAGAACACTGGAAAAGGTCGTGGCAGAAGAGCTGATGACTTGTCTGGACCTACACAACAGTTTAGATGAGGTCCAGTCTGGTTCTGGTGAAAAGCGTTCAGCAGAAACAGTTCTGCTTAAAGTTCCCAGTGACATCATGATGCTGCAGACAGCGGGGAGCTCACAGTACTGTTAGATGTTTCTGCAGCGTCTGACTCGGTTGATCACAGCACCTTCATGAACAGACCTGGTGACTCGGTGGGGATCTCTGGAACTGGTCTAGACTGGTTTCGTACCTTTCTAACAGAAGTTAGCGTCTGTAGAAACCAGATCATGTCAGATTCTACCCATCTCAGGGTTCCCCCAGCACTTTATCATGCCCCGCCCCCTCCCCGACCCTACCGTGTCCACTGACACGAACGCCGCAACGAATCTAGCGCCCTCCATCAGCTGATGCTGGTGAGGAACAGCAGCGGAACGTGTGCTACCCCCACCCCCACGGAGGAGCGCAGCGGGACGTGCTGGACCCCGGCCCTCGGGGATAACTCACCTAGAGTCTTAACCTGGACTAGATGAGTCTTAACCTGGACTAGATGAGTCTTAACCTGGACTAGATGAGTCTTAACCTGGACTAGATGAGTCTTAACCTGGACTAGATGAGTCTTAACCTGGACTAGATGAGTCTTAACCTGGACTAGATGAGTCTTAACCTGGACTAGATGAGTCTTAACCTGGACTAGATGAGCCTTAACCTGGACTAGATGAGCCTTAACCTGGACTAGATGAGCCTTAACCTGGACTAGATGAGCCTTAACCTGGACTAGATGAGCCTTAACCTGGACTAGATGAGCCTTAACCTGGACTAGATGAGCCTTAACCTGGACTAGATGAGTCTTAACCTGGACTAGATGAGTCTTAACCTGGACTAGATGAGCCTTAACCTGGACTAGATGAGTCTTAACCTGGACTAGATGAGCCTTAACCTGGACTAGATGAGTCTTAACCTGGACTAGATGAGTCTTAACCTGGACTAGATGAGCCTTAACCTGGACTAGATGAGTCTTAACCTGGACTAGATGAGTCTTAACCTGGACTAGATGAGTCTTAACCTGGACTAGATGAGTCTTAACCTGTCTTAACCTGGACTAGATGAGTCTTAACCTGGACTAGATGAGTCTTAACCTGGACTAGATGAGTCTTAACCTGTCTTAACCTGGACTAGATGAGTCTTAACCTGGACTAGATGAGTCTTAACCTGGACTAGATGAGTCTTAACCTGGACTAGATGAGCCTTAACCTGGACTAGATGAGCCTTAACCTGGACTAGATGAGTCTTAACCTGGACTAGATGAGTCTTAACCTGGACTAGATGAGTCTTAACCTGGACTAGATGAGTCTTAACCTGGACTAGATGAGTCTTAACCTGGACTAGATGAGCCTTAACCTGGACTAGATGAGCCTTAACCTGGACTAGATGAGTCTTAACCTGGACTAGATGAGTCTTAACCTGGACTAGATGAGTCTTAACCTGGACTAGATGAGTCTTAACCTGGACTAGATGAGCCTTAACCTGGACTAGATGAGTCTTAACCTGGACTAGATGAGTCTTAACCTGGACTAGATGAGTCTTAACCTGGACTAGATGAGTCTTAACCTGGACTAGATGAGCCTTAACCTGGACTAGATGAGCCTTAACCTGGACTAGATGAGTCTTAACCTGGACTAGATGAGTCTTAACCTGGACTAGATGAGTCTTAACCTGGACTAGATGAGTCTTAACCTGGACTAGATGAGTCTTAACCTGGACTAGATGAGTCTTAACCTGGACTAGATGAGTCTTAACCTGGACTAGATGAGCCTTAACCTGGACTAGATGAGCCTTAACCTGGACTAGATGAGTCTTAACCTGGACTAGATGAGTCTTAACCTGGACTAGATGAGTCTTAACCTGGACTAGATGAGTCTTAACCTGGACTAGATGAGTCTTAACCTGGACTAGATGAGTCTTAACCTGGACTAGATGAGCCTTAACCTGGACTAGATGAGCCTTAACCTGGACTAGATGAGTCTTAACCTGGACTAGATGAGTCTTAACCTGGACTAGATGAGTCTTAACCTGGACTAGATGAGTCTTAACCTGGACTAGATGAGTCTTAACCTGGACTAGATGAGTCTTAACCTGGACTAGATGAGTCTTAACCTGGACTAGATGAGCCTTAACCTGGACTAGATGAGTCTTAACCTGGACTAGATGAGTCTTAACCTGGACTAGATGAGTCTTAACCTGGACTAGATGAGCCTTAACCTGGACTAGATGAGTCTTAACCTGGACTAGATGAGTCTTAACCTGGACTAGATGAGTCTTAACCTGGACTAGATGAGTCTTAACCTGGACTAGATGACTGTAACCGCAGCATCCATAAAGCATCGTCTCTGATAGGGGAACGGTGTTTGACCGGTGGAAGAGTGGGTTTTGCTTTTTTACTAAACTGGCAATGAAACGGTGTTAAAATGCAAAAGTGAAACTAGTCGTGTCTGGACGGGCAGTCTGGGTGCTCGGCACCCCGTAACCTTTGACCTCTGATGCTAGACTTGCAGCATGGGTGCGTGCAGATATTTGTGAAAAATTCCTTTCATTTTTCTACTTTTACTGCTGAATCCGTGTCTCATCAACGTGTTTTACTGCTAAGCTTTTGTTCACGGTTGCTGTGAAACGTGCTTTATAGATAAAAGTGAGTTGACTGTAAGCAACATGCCAACTCTGCATTTCTGACGTGAATTATTGCAAATAAAATGGTTCTGGGACGGAAGACTTTGGAGGCGTGAACACCTCTTTAACTCCTCCTCCTCCTGGTGCCCCCGCTGCTGCTGTGGTCGGCTGACTCGAGTCAGACTGCTGCTCACACACACACACACATCAGCCGGTATCCTACAGCACCGCGGGGTCTCAGTGGAGCTTTCGTCAGCTCGGTCCTGACTAGTTAAAGCCCACCGGCGGGCCTGCGGTGGGGACGGGTGCCTGCCTGTGTGCTGCGGTCCACTTCTGATGACGAAAAAGTCGATGATTCTGGAGGTGAAGTCCAGGGCCACGTGTGTCTTCCCATGAATGACCGTGATGCAGTGTCGGTCTCCATAACTGGCTCTGGGCATGCCACCGTTGAACAGCAGGAAGGGAGGCCTGTAAGGGGCAACAGCTGGGCGTAAACACGTTACTGAGTAAGCGCCAACGCTACACACGGGGCTTACCCTTCTTCTGTGGGGAGCTGAACGATTTTAGAGATGGCCTTGCAGGGGAAATGTCCTGTCACCACAAAAGCAAAACAGAGTTGGTTAAAACCTTCTCCTGCTACTGAAGACCCTTAGACATTACAGGCAGTGATGTTGACAGTAGAGCCCTGCAGGGGGGTTGGGGTCAAAGGCCAGAGAAGAACAGTTAGAGCATGGAGCGAGCTCCTGAGGTAGCCAATGAGATCAGGACCTCCGTAGAAACAACAACGGTGTGCCGAGCTGAACAGAGAAGATAACACGCAGGGAGGGACCGCTCTTTAAACGCTCTCCGCTGACTAACTCAGACGGGCTGGGATCAGGCTTCAGGTCCCCGGGTCCTTCTAGGCCCGCTGAGACTGTAGACCTCATTTTAGTCGGCCCTTGTGTGGAGAAGTGCAAGTGAAAGACAGATGGGGTTGAAATAATAGATGCAGGGCTCTAGTGCACAACTTTTACTCCTCACCATAAGGAATGTCTGATTTCTCCTCCTCCTCCTCCTCCTCCTCAGGGCCTCCCACTCTCCAGCGACAGTAGCTCCCATCGCTGTGAGAACTGAGGATGTGGCTACCATCCTCGGTCCACCACATGCTCTCCAGCTGCTTTAGGAGCACCACAACAGGAACATGAGACACGCTGGCCCGTAATGTCACATGGGCAGCAACACCTGAGGTGCTTACCTGTGTAGCTGGGAGGTGCTGAACAGCATTCTTCTTCTCCAGGTCCCAGATGACCATCAGACCCCGCCCATAGCCAATAACGACCTGACTGGGGTTGATGGGGTTCTCCACCAGGGCCTCTACGTGCTCCAGATTCCTACGGCCGAGGTAATCGTCTGGGATGCTGAAGGTAGAGCCGAGACCAGACAGTGAGTCGTGAGACGTATGAACACCGGTGTTACTCTGGGGTTCTGACCCAGTCCAGCCTCCATGATGACCTGCTCCTGACCAACAGCGTAAACACCTTCTAGCCGGTCTCACACCTCTAACAATAGCACCACTACGGTCATCCCCCCGACCCACCATCATCACTGTGGAACTCACCCACAGGACCCTCCTCCTCACCCCACACCCACGATGACACCACGTCACACACTTCCCCCACAGCCTTCTGACCCTACACACCTGTGGCTCGGACATCTGTGGTCATGAAGTCATTGAGCACCTGGTTCTCCCCCACAACCCCCTGCTGGACCGCCTACAGAGCCAACAGGTCTGTAGATGATGCCATCAGCATGGCTCTACACCTCATCCTGCAGCATCTGGACTTCCCGGGTACCTACGCCAGCATCCCGTTGGTGGACTTCAGCTCTGCCTTCAACACAATCCTCCCAGCCTTCCTCCAGGATGAACGTGCCTGACCTGATCTGCAGGTGGATCACCGACTTCCTGACTGACAGGAAGCTGCAGGTCAGGCTGGACCATCAGCACCGGTTCTCCTCAGGGCTGTGTCCTCTCCCCTCTGATCTTCTCCCTGACCTCTAATAACCCCCGAGCGTCGCTCAGCAGGGTGGAGACGAGAACAAACCTCTAACCTTAAATGAACCAGGAAGGTCAGAAACGCCACTGCTGTTTGTTCATTTTCACTTCAGTTCAACCAGCTATAGTTTTGTGTTTCATCTCATTTGGTTTGTATTCAGAGTAAACATCTTTATGTTATGAGAACGGTGTTTGGAGAACGAATCATAGCGCAACATAAAACCACCAGAGAGGTTTTGTATTCTCTAAATACGTTCTGAAGGTTCCATGTTCTTCAGTAATGTTCATAATTGTGTGTTCTGCTGAAGCATCCGTCATCCTGACATAAGTAATATACAGACCTCAGGCCAGCAGGCCCAGTCCTACCCGATACTGTGAATGATACGATTTGTGCCACCCACTGATGAAAATGTGATTATTTTCATTAATTATAAATAAAAGGTGTGTGAAGCGTGTGAGTGGCGCCTAACCCGAACTGAGATGGACTTTATTACAGACACAGGTCAAGTCCACATTAAAGCACAGAGGAAACACAGTACAACAGGAAAAGCAGGTAAACGACGATAAGAGCATGCGCGTGTTAACAGACAGCCGTCAGACGAAGCCAGAAGCAGGTTTACAGCCTGGGTCACAAAACCATTCTAGCTTTAATAGATCTACGTTATAGTAATGACAACTCTGACGTTTCTAACTCTTCCATTAGAAGTTATTAAATACTAGAAATCATTAATAATTAGATTTGATTTACACGTAGCATGAGTGTCCGAGCTGGCGCTAGCTGTTAGCTCCGGGAAACGTCATTTGGAATTGTAGGATGTCCAAGGAAGGTCCAGCCTGTTCCGCCTGATTGGACCTTCCCTGTATGCCCTACGATTCCGAATGCCACGCTCCGCAGAGGGCCTCACCCTGGGACTCGCGTTACTAGATGTTCGACCATTTCATCTTTTCAGTTTATGGTCGTCAATCATTTCCCACACCCCGTCAGCCGTTTTACCATTTATGGACTATCTGGGTGGGACGAGAGAGTGAGACACAGAAAAGATGGCGGTGGTGTGAACCTCCCACTTGACTTCATAAATGTCTAAGAAGACAATGGGTGGGGTTTGTCCAGTACTTAATGTCTACGTGGGAGACTGGACCCCACGAGCCTGGGTCTCGCCCGAGCTCACCTGTCGAGCCTGGGTCTCGCCCGAGCTCACCTGTCGAGCCTGGGTCTCGCCCGAGCTCACCTGTCGAGCCTGGGTCTCGCCCGAGCTCACCTGTCGAGCCTGGGTCTCGCCCGAGCTCACCTGTCGAGTCTGGGTCTCGCCCGAGCTCACCTGTCGAGCCTGGGTCTCGCCCGAGCTCACCTGTCGAGCCTGGGTCTCGCCCGAGCTCACCTGTTGGTGATTTGGTCCAGGCTGATATTCCTCTCTTCCAGCTCTCTGAATCCTGGGACTTCAACCACAAACACGTGTCCTCCTTCTGTCCCCAACAGCAGCAACTCCCCCGAGGAGTGGGCCAGCACCGCTGTCACGCTGGTCACACTTGGGGGGGCACTGGGGAGGACAAAAAGACAAACTGTTCGAGTGTTCCAGTAGACTCGGGACTCGGACTTTCATGGCAGGAAGTGATGTAACAGGCTCTTTTTGCGTTCCAGCTTCCAACTAAAAAAATGGATGCCACCAGTGTTGCCGAGTACTAAAATACTTATATAACCAAGTATTCTCCGCACCTAAATAATAGTGACACACACACGCCCCTCGAGTCGCGACACACACACGCCCCTCGAGTCGCGACACACACACGCCCCTCGAGTCGCGACACACACACGCCCCTCGAGTCGCGACACACACACGCCCCTCGAGCCGCCACGTACAAGCTGAAAACCAATCAAATGTATAAATCAGGGGTGAGACTCGATTAAAAACTGATCTAATTAGAGGTTTGTAATTGATTTTAATCACATTTTCATCTATTGGGAAAATGTGCCTTCAAAGCCATTTTTATATGAAAAATAACGAAGCAGAGAACCAAACATTAGACGTGGTTATTGTTACTGTAAACTAAAGCTGTAATTTCTAAAAAATAAATGCATTTAATTATTCTAACGTCCCTGTGTGATATGAAACAAGACCCACATCAACAATAATGTATAATTACACGTAGAAAACACCTGCTAAGGGTTCCTGAGCCTTACATTGTTTCTCAGTCTAGTTGCATTACTGACATAAATGGACTTTGCTCCAGATTCGAAGTTTTCGTTTTCCAGTTTCACTCGTTTGTATAATCGGGTGTTTTTGTTAGCATTTCTACTCATAATGTAGTAAAACCACGTAAATGAATAAAAATCCTTAAACGTGACGGTAGAACAGGCACAAACATGATCTAGGACGTACATTTGTTCACTTTTAATGGCAGACGTGTTTCCTAGATCCTGCATCAGTCCAAGCGAGGACATTTCTTTCAAGTTTCATTCCATTTTAGCAGCGCGCCGTGTGTGTGTGTGTGTGTGTGTGTGTGTGTGTGTGTGTGTGTGTGTGTGTGTGTGTCAGTGATATTCAGTCTACGAGGAACTCGTGCACTGACAAAGGTTCCGCCGTGCTCGAAACGCAAGCTGTGATAAAATGTGCTCATTTTTTTAATTAATTAATCGTAATTAACAAGTTCAAGTCCCACCCCTGGGCTGCATGGTGGCGCAGTGGTTAGCACTGTTGCCTCGCAGGAAGAAGGTTGCAGGTTCGAAACTGGGCTCGGCTGCAGCCTTTCTGCGTGGAGTTGCGTGTTCTCCCCGTGCATGCGTGGGTTTCCTCCGGGTACTCCGGTTCCCCCCACAGATCACAACACGCCCCATAGGTTATGAACTGTAAGTTGCTCTGGATAAAAGCGTCTGCTAAATAAATAAACATAAACATCGTACAAATCGATAAACAATAAACAACGTGGCGGTGCTGTTAGATAGCAAAAAGAAAGAACAGAGCATAGTAATGAAAAATAATGAAGGTGATAACTAGTTGGTAGCACTGGGTGCAGCCATCTTTAAAGTTGGGATCTCTGGGTCATCTGAAGCCTACGAGCTCGCAGCATTTCTGGCTAACTCATCAGAGAAACACCAGTTCTGAGGACCGCTGGAACGCACCACGTCACCTGATACCCGCAGCTTAATAAAGGACCCGAGTTTACCCTGGTGGGCCCGTCAGCATGAAGCGTCCGATCTCCAGAAGCTCTGAAATTCCCTTGTGTCCTCTTAAAGTCCACATGTGCAAACTGTTGTCATCCAGCAGAGTCACCAACTCGACCTGTGGAGGAGCCGAGTCAGGGTGAGCTTTCTCAGAGCTCCAGCATGCAGCAGGTGGTGTGTGCTCCTACTGTACCTGATGGGGCATGAAGTGCACCTGTGTGACAGCAGCGTTCTCATCGTGTAGACCCATGAACTCCACACCTGGAGCTCCATACCTGAACAACGGTTAAAGAGAAAGAGCACTCCCAACAGCAGGGACTAATCCCCAACACCAACAGAGAGGGATGTCGTTCATTTGCACAATAAGAACAGATTTATCACAACTAACTCGCTTTATTTACCTCTTCCTGTAACAAGGTCAATCAGCGGGGCCATCACATTAACAAGCTGGGCCTGAGAGACAAGGCAGTATTATGGGATACCTAGACATCTAAAAACAGTGATGGAGGTCTTAAGAAACCCGGCGGAGAAGGTTCTCCCAACATGCTGCTGCCCTTCCTGCAACTATGTGCCTTTTTCCATAGCACCCCCTACTGGCTGGAAAAAGAAAAGCAGTCCCCGCACGCGCACACACACGCACGCACGCACGCACGCACACACGCACACACGCGCACACGCGCACACGCGCACACACACACACACACACACACACACACACACACACACACACACACACACACACACACACACACACACACACACACACACACACACACACACACACACACACACACACACACACACACACACACACACACACACACACACACACACACACACACACACACACACACACACACACACACACACACACACACACACACACACACACACACACACACACACACACACACACACACACACACACACACACACACACACACACACACACACACACACACACACACACACACACACACACACACACACACACACACACACACACACACACACACACACACACACACACACACACACACACACCCTATAAAGGGTCTGTAATATCTTTTGTTCCTTTTCAGAGATTTAGGAATTCACTCCACTACTGATCTGCAACATTGATGTTTTATCTCTTTTCTATACTAATAACACAAGCTTGGAGGAGTTCCGCTGTGTGGTGGAGTAGCTAATGCTAACGGTTAGCTTCTACTAGCAGAGAGGTTCTCTTCTTCCCTAGGATCAGTAAAACAGGCAGCCCCAAGCCTTGCTTTGCCTGAGGATTGTGAAGTCTTGCATACCCATACAGAGTCCCAGGACCCACAGGAAGGTCTCTCGGAGCCGTGCTCTACATGCCACAGCAAGTCGGCCCCTTCCTCACTCACTCACTGAATGTGCACTGGTCCCCATGCAGAGAGGGCTGTCCTCTCAGCCCTCAGGCTAGTTTATGCTAGAACAATCAGGGCATTGAACCACTGAATCAGTCTAATGACAGAAGGTCCTGCTGGTATCAAAACTACTGAGCCTTTGTTTGGATTTTCCTCAGCGTGGCAAGTGCACAGACCGGCTCCACCACACCATCAATGCACACAATTGTGTAAAGGACTATGATGGCCCCAAAGTCCAACGGCACCAGCCTGAAATGGGAAGATGAAGACTAACCTGCCCTACAGCCATTCAGCAGTGCTGCCAGGCTCAGGCTAAAGCGTGACTGAATTCCTCTGAGGTCTGAGGAAGGATACAGTTTGATGGCTCCGGAGCGGGTTCCTATGGCCAGCAGCTGCAGAGACGGACTGTAGCCCAGAGCACTGGGCTGGTGGGGGAATCCATGCTCCACCGTCTGTAGGAAACAGCAACCAGCAAGATAGAGGGTTATGCCAGTGTTGCTGCAGGTGCTCTTTGTTCAATGTGACCCAGGATCTTCTAACCCAGCTCTTACATATGTACCCTGAGCTGTTTGGCCAGTGATGAAAGCTCCCTACCCAGAAGCTTCCATCAGTTCTACCCTCCTGTGGTACATTTCTACTCTGGTCCTGGTTCCTGCCGGGACACCGGGATGGAGGAAGACATCAGAAAACCACCCTGGCTCCTGGAAAAGGTTCCTGAGGAGGCCTGGTATTGAAAAGACTGGATTTGAGCTTAGACCCGAGTGGTCCACTCTGAGCTACTTGGATGGAAGTTCAGTGGGGTCATGCTTGTGGTTAGGGTCTTCAGATGAATTCACCGGGAGGCTGGGCCACTAGCCTTATGAGACCCCGAACCCTTAGACGTGATTTAAGGAATCAAGGCAGTTTTCCGTTTTCACGACAGGAACCAGGACAAAGTTAGAAACTAGCCCCACTAAACGGTGCTGGCTGGAACGTGCTGCTGATGAAACTACGTGGAACCTTTAGGACGGCTCATTAACGCGATGAACCCACCAAACCAGGCTGTAGGACACGCAGTCAGGACCAGGATAAACACACCGTTGTTTACACAACTAGTACCTGATAAAACCTTTTGTTTACACAACTAGTACTGATAAAACCTTTTGTTTACACAACTAGTACCTGATAAAACCTTTTGTTTACACAACTAGTACCTGATAAAACCTTTTGTTTACACAACTAGTACCTGATAAAACCTTTTGTTTACACAACTAGTACTGATAAAACCTTTTGTTTACACAACTAGTACCTAATAAAACCTTTTGTTTTCACAACTAGTACCTAATAAAACCTTTTGTTTACACAACTAGTACCTAATAAAACCTTTTGTTTACACAACTAGTACCTAATAAAACCTTTTGTTTACACAACTAGTACCTAATAAAACCTTTTGTTTACACAACTAGTACCTAATAAAACCTTTTGTTTACACAACTAGTACCTGATAAAACCTTTTGTTTACACAACTAGTACCTGATAAAACCTTTTGTTTACACAACTAGTACCTGATAAAACCTTTTGTTTACACAACTAGTACCTGATAAAACCTTTTGTTTACACAACTAGTACCTGATAAAACCTTTTGTTTACACAACTAGTACCTGATAAAACCTTTTGTTTACACAACTAGTACCTGATAAAACCTTTTGTTTACACAACTAGTACCTGATAAAACCTTTTGTTTACACAACTAGTACCTGATAAAACCTTTTGTTTACACAACTAGTACCTGATAAAACCTTTTGTTTACACAACTAGTACCTGATAAAACCTTTTGTTTACACAACTAGTACCTGATAAAACCTTTTGTTTACACAACTAGTACCTGATAAAACCTTTTGTTTACACAACTAGTACCTGATAAAACCTTTTGTTTACACAACTAGTACCTGATAAAACCTTTTGTTTACACAACTAGTACCTGATAAAACCTTTTGTTTACACAACTAGTACCTGATAAAACCTTTTGTTTACACAACTAGTACCTAATAAAACCTTTTGTTTTCACAACTAGTACCTAATAAACCCTTTTGTTTACACAACTAGTACCTAATAAACCCTTTTGTTTACACAACTAGTACCTGATAAACCCTTTTGTTTACACAACTAGTACCTGATAAAACCTTTTGTTTACACAACTAGTACCTGATAAACCCTTTTGTTTACACAACTAGTACCTGATAAACCCTTTTGTTTACACAACTAGTACCTGATAAAACCTTTTGTTTACACAACTAGTACCTAATAAAACCTTTTGTTTACACAACTAGTACCTGATAAAACCTTTTGTTTACACAACTAGTACCTGATAAAACCTTTTGTTTACACAACTAGTACCTGATAAAACCTTTTGTTTACACAACTAGTACCTGATAAAACCTTTTGTTTACACAACTAGTACCTGATAAAACCTTTTGTTTACACAACTAGTACCTGATAAACCCTTTTGTTTACACAACTAGTACCTGATAAAACCTTTTGTTTACACAACTAGTACCTGATAAAACCTTTTGTTTTCACAACTAGTACCTGATAAAACCTTTTGTTTTCACAACTAGTACCTAATAAAACCTTTTGTTTACACAACTAGTACCTAATAAAACCTTTTGTTTACACAACTAGTACCTAATAAAACCTTTTGTTTACACAACTAGTACCTGATAAAACCTTTTGTTTTCACAACTAGTACCTGATAAAACCTTTTGTTTACACAACTAGTACCTGATAAAACCTTTTGTTTACACAACTAGTACCTGATAAAACCTTTTGTTTACACAACTAGTACCTGATAAAACCTTTTGTTTACACAATTAGTACCTGATAAAACCTTTTGTTTACACAACTAGTACCTGATAAAACCTTTTGTTTACACAACTAGTACCTGATAAAACCTTTTGTTTACACAACTAGTACCTGATAAAACCTTTTGTTTACACAACTAGTACCTGATAAAACCTTTTGTTTACACAACTAGTACCTGATAAAACCTTTTGTTTACACAACTAGTACCTGATAAAACCTTTTGTTTACACAACTAGTACCTGATAAAACCTTTTGTTTACACAACTAGTACCTGATAAAACCTTTTGTTTACACAACTAGTACCTGATAAAACCTTTTGTTTACACAACTAGTACCTGATAAAACCTTTTGTTTACACAACTAGTACCTGATAAAACCTTTTGTTTACACAACTAGTACCTGATAAAACCTTTTGTTTACACAACTAGTACCTGATAAAACCTTTTGTTTACACAACTAGTACCTGATAAAACCTTTTGTTTACACAACTAGTACCTGATAAAACCTTTTGTTTACACAACTAGTACCTAATAAAACCTTTTGTTTACACAACTAGTACCTGATAAAACCTTTTGTTTACACAACTAGTACCTGATAAAACCTTTTGTTTACACAACTAGTACCTGATAAAACCTTTTGTTTACACAACTAGTACCTGATAAAACCTTTTGTTTACACAACTAGTACCTGATAAAACCTTTTGTTTACACAACTAGTACCTGATAAAACCTTTTGTTTACACAACTAGTACCTGATAAAACCTTTTGTTTACACAACTAGTACCTAATAAACCTTTTGTTTACACAACTAGTACCTGATAAAACCTTTTGTTTACACAACTAGTACCTGATAAAACCTTTTGTTTACACAACTAGTACCTGATAAAACCTTTTGTTTACACAACTAGTACCTGATAAAACCTTTTGTTTACACAACTAGTACCTGATAAAACCTTTTGTTTACACAACTAGTACCTGATAAAACCTTTTGTTTACACAACTAGTACCTGATAAAACCTTTTGTTTACACAACTAGTACCTGATAAAACCTTTTGTTTACACAACTAGTACCTGATAAAACCTTTTGTTTACACAACTAGTACCTGATAAAACCTTTTGTTTACACAACTAGTACCTGATAAAACCTTTTGTTTACACAACTAGTACCTGATAAAACCGTTTGTTTACACAACTAGTACCTGATAAAACCGTTTGTTTACACAACTAGTACCTAATAAAACCGTTTGTTTACACAACTAGTACCTAATAAAACCTTTTGTTTACACAACTAGTACCTGATAAAACCTTTTGTTTACACAACTAGTACCTGATAAAACCTTTTGTTTACACAACTAGTACCTGATAAAACCTTTTGTTTACACAACTAGTACCTGATAAAACCTTTTGTTTACACAACTAGTACCTGATAAAACCTTTTGTTTACACAACTAGTACCTGATAAAACCTTTTGTTAACACAACTAGTACCTAATAAAACCTTTTGTTAACACAACTAGTACCTGATAAAACCTTTTGTTTACACAACTAGTACCTGATAAAACCTTTTGTTTACACAACTAGTACCTGATAAAACCTTTTGTTTACACAACTAGTACCTGATAAAACCTTTTGTTTACACAACTAGTACCTGATAAAACCTTTTGTTTACACAACTAGTACCTGATAAAACCTTTTGTTTACACAACTAGTACCTGATAAAACCTTTTGTTTACACAACTAGTACCTGATAAAACCTTTTGTTTACACAACTAGTACCTGATAAAACCTTTTGTTTACACAACTAGTACCTGATAAAACCTTTTGTTTACACAACTAGTACCTGATAAAACCTTTTGTTTACACAACTAGTACCTAATAAAACCTTTTGTTTACACAACTAGTACCTGATAAAACCTTTTGTTTACACAACTAGTACCTAATAAAACCTTTTGTTTACACAACTAGTACCTGATAAAACCTTTTGTTTACACAACTAGTACCTGATAAAACCTTTTGTTTACACAACTAGTACCTGATAAACCCTTTTGTTTACACAACTAGTACCTGATAAAACCTTTTGTTTACACAACTAGTACCTGATAAAACCTTTTGTTTACACAACTAGTACCTGATAAAACCTTTTGTTTACACAACTAGTACCTGATAAACCCTTTTGTTTACACAACTAGTACCTAATAAACCCTTTTGTTTACACAACTAGTACCTGATAAAACCTTTTGTTTACACAACTAGTACCTGATAAAACCTTTTGTTTACACAACTAGTACCTAATAAAACCTTTTGTTTACACAACTAGTACCTGATAAAACCTTTTGTTTACACAACTAGTACCTGATAAAACCTTTTGTTTACACAACTAGTACCTAATAAAACCTTTTGTTTACACAACTAGTACCTGATAAAACCTTTTGTTTACACAACTAGTACCTGATAAAACCTTTTGTTTACACAACTAGTACCTAATAAAACCTTTTGTTTACACAACTAGTACCTGATAAAACCTTTTGTTTACACAACTAGTACCTGATAAAACCTTTTGTTTACACAACTAGTACCTAATAAAACATTTTGTTTACACAACTAGTACCTAATAAAACATTTTGTTTACACAACTAGTACCTGATAAAACCTTTTGTTTACACAACTAGTACCTGATAAAACCTTTTGTTTACACAACTAGTACCTGATAAAACCTTTTGTTTACACAACTAGTACCTGATAAAACCTTTTGTTTACACAACTAGTACCTGATAAAACCTTTTGTTTACACAACTAGTACCTGATAAAACCGTTTGTTTACACAACTAGTACCTGATAAAACCGTTTGTTTACACAACTAGTACCTGATAAAACCTTTTGTTTACACAACTAGTACCTGATAAAACCTTTTGTTTACACAACTAGTACCTGATAAAACCTTTTGTTTACACAACTAGTACCTAATAAACCCTTTTGTTTACACAACTAGTACCTGATAAAACCTTTTGTTTACACAACTAGTACCTGATAAAACCTTTTGTTTACACAACTAGTACCTAATAAAACCTTTTGTTTACACAACTAGTACCTGATAAAACCTTTTGTTTACACAACTAGTACCTAATAAAACCTTTTGTTTACACAACTAGTACCTGATAAAACCTTTTGTTTACACAACTAGTACCTAATAAAACCTTTTGTTTACACAACTAGTACCTAATAAACCTTTTGTTTACACAACTAGTACCTAATAAACCTTTTGTTTACACAACTAGTACCTAATAAAACCGTTGGTTTACACAACTAGTACCTGATAAAACCTTTTGTTTACACAACTAGTACCTGATAAAACCTTTTGTTTACACAACTAGTACCTGATAAAACCTTTTGTTTACACAACTAGTACCTGATAAAACCTTTTGTTTACACAACTAGTACCTAATAAAACCTTTTGTTTACACAACTAGTACCTGATAAAACCTTTTGTTTACACAACTAGTACCTGATAAAACCTTTTGTTTACACAACTAGTACCTGATAAAACCTTTTGTTTACACAACTAGTACCTGATAAAACCTTTTGTTTACACAACTAGTACCTGATAAAACCGTTTGTTTACACAACTAGTACCTGATAAAACCGTTTGTTTACACAACTAGTACCTGATAAAACCGTTTGTTTACACAACTAGTACCTGATAAAACCTTTTGTTTACACAACTAGTACCTGATAAAACCTTTTGTTTACACAACTAGTACCTGATAAAACCTTTTGTTTACACAACTAGTACCTAATAAACCCTTTTGTTTACACAACTAGTACCTGATAAAACCTTTTGTTTACACAACTAGTACCTGATAAAACCTTTTGTTTACACAACTAGTACCTAATAAAACCTTTTGTTTACACAACTAGTACCTGATAAAACCTTTTGTTTACACAACTAGTACCTAATAAAACCTTTTGTTTACACAACTAGTACCTGATAAAACCTTTTGTTTACACAACTAGTACCTAATAAAACCTTTTGTTTACACAACTAGTACCTAATAAACCTTTTGTTTACACAACTAGTACCTAATAAACCTTTTGTTTACACAACTAGTACCTAATAAAACCGTTGGTTTACACAACTAGTACCTGATAAAACCTTTTGTTTACACAACTAGTACCTGATAAAACCTTTTGTTTACACAACTAGTACCTGATAAAACCTTTTGTTTACACAACTAGTACCTGATAAAACCTTTTGTTTACACAACTAGTACCTAATAAAACCTTTTGTTTACACAACTAGTACCTGATAAAACCTTTTGTTTACACAACTAGTACCTAATAAAACCTTTTGTTTACACAACTAGTACCTGATAAAACCTTTTGTTTACACAACTAGTACCTGATAAAACCTTTTGTTTACACAACTAGTACCTAATAAAACCTTTTGTTTACACAACTAGTACCTAATAAAACCTTTTGTTTACACAACTAGTACCTGATAAAACCTTTTGTTTACACAACTAGTACCTGATAAAACCTTTTGTTTACACAACTAGTACCTAATAAACCTTTTGTTTACACAACTAGTACCTAATAAACCTTTTGTTTACACAACTAGTACCTGATAAAACCTTTTGTTTACACAACTAGTACCTGATAAAACCTTTTGTTTACACAACTAGTACCTGATAAAACCTTTTGTTTACACAACTAGTACCAAATAAAACCTTTTGTTTACACAACTAGTACCTGATAAAACCTTTTGTTTACACAACTAGTACCTAATAAACCTTTTGTTTACACAACTAGTACCTGATAAAACCTTTTGTTTACACAACTAGTACCTGATAAAACCTTTTGTTTACACAACTAGTACCTGATAAAACCTTTTGTTTACACAACTAGTACCTGATAAAACCTTTTGTTTACACAACTAGTACCTGATAAAACCTTTTGTTTACACAACTAGTACCTGATAAAACCTTTTGTTTACACAACTAGTACCTAATAAAACCTTTTGTTTACACAACTAGTACCTAATAAAACCTTTTGTTTACACAACTAGTACCTGATAAAACCTTTTGTTTACACAACTAGTACCTGATAAAACCTTTTGTTTACACAACTAGTACCTGATAAAACCTTTTGTTTACACAACTAGTACCTGATAAAACCTTTTGTTTACACAACTAGTACCTGATAAAACCTTTTGTTTACACAACTAGTACCTGATAAAACCTTTTGTTTACACAACTAGTACCTGATAAAACCTTTTGTTTACACAACTAGTACCTGATAAAACCTTTTGTTTACACAACTAGTACCTGATAAAACCTTTTGTTTACACAACTAGTACCTGATAAAACCTTTTGTTTACACAACTAGTACCTGATAAAACCTTTTGTTTACACAACTAGTACCTGATAAAACCTTTTGTTTACACAACTAGTACCTGATAAAACCTTTTGTTTACACAACTAGTACCTAATAAAACCTTTTGTTTACACAACTAGTACCTGATAAAACCTTTTGTTTACACAACTAGTACCTGATAAAACCTTTTGTTTACACAACTAGTACCTAATAAAACCTTTTGTTTACACAACTAGTACCTAATAAAACCTTTTGTTTACACAACTAGTACCTAATAAACCCTTTTGTTTACACAACTAGTACCTAATAAACCCTTTTGTTTACACAACTAGTACCTAATAAAACCTTTTGTTTACACAACTAGTACCTGATAAAACCTTTTGTTTACACAACTAGTACCTAATAAAACCTTTTGTTTACACAACTAGTACCTAATAAAACCTTTTGTTTACACAACTAGTACCTAATAAAACCTTTTGTTTACACAACTAGTACCTGATAAAACCTTTTGTTTACACAACTAGTACCTGATAAAACCTTTTGTTTACACAACTAGTACCTGATAAAACCTTTTGTTTACACAACTAGTACCTAATAAACCCTTTTGTTTACACAACTAGTACCTAATAAAACCTTTTGTTTACACAACTAGTACCTAATAAAACCTTTTGTTTACACAACTAGTACCTGATAATCCCTTTTGTTTACACAACTAGTACCTGATAAACCCTTTTGTTTACACAACTAGTACCTGATAAAACCTTTTGTTTACACAACTAGTACCTGATAAAACCTTTTGTTTACACAACTAGTACCTAATAAAACCTTTTGTTTACACAACTAGTACCTGATAAAACCTTTTGTTTACACAACTAGTACCTGATAAAACCAAAGAAAGTGTCTCCTTCACGCCTACAGCTGACTGTATAGTAGAGCATCACCAGTTATCTGAATCAGACTCGCTGTTCTACCCTCTCACTGTCTTATTGGGCGACTCCTTCAGGACAGGCGATGGTTGACCAGAGTTGATGGTTTATCCTTTGTGATACATGTGGCACGGGTGAGGTGGAGCTCACTCATCAAAAATCTAAAACAAACACCTGGGGTCCACTGGACCTTATTAGTAACGCACATGTTCCCTCTGATCACCAAGTACACCATTTACTTTATTCTTTACTCTCATTTCCAAAAGCATTATTGTGCAGCTGAAGATGAGCGTTTTGCCTCCAGGTGATTCTTCTCCACACAAACGGCTACTGGACATCCAGATGTAGGGAGCAAAAGGAGGAAACCACATGGAGCTGAGCTCCATCAGCAGCCAATCATACCTTGTTGAAGTGGAATAGCTCCTGTTTGAGGCGTTCCCTTTGGGACTCATGGGCGTGTCTTCTGAACCTCTTCATTGTGTCTTAGCACCAGTGTGGAGCCTGCAGGCCCACCGTTACACACTGCAGGAGAAACACAGGAGATAGAAGAGGACCTTCAAACCCTGAAGCTTCCAGAAAAGCACAACAAGCTGCTTTGGTAAGTTCACTTGGTTGTTTAACTGTATTAGTGGACTGTACCCCCAGCCACCCAAAAATTGAGATCCCCTGCTAGGAGAAGTGAACGGTCCAAGTATTCGGGGAGTACAAAGAAAACATTATGAAAGAACGAGTGGTCGTCAATATTTGGAACATATATGCTGACAACACATAAGCTTTGGTTCTGAATAAACCGCAGGTTTCAACGTCCCCGTCAGAAAAACCGCGGGCGTTAACGTCCCTGTCAGAAAAACCGCGGGTGTCAACGTCCCCGTCAGAAAAACCGCGGGCGTTAACGTCCCCGTCAGAAAAACCGCGGGCGTCAACGTCCCCGTCAGAAAAACCGCGGGTGTCAACGTCCCCGTCAGAAAAACCGCGGGCGTTAACGTCCCCGTCAGAAAAACCGCGGGCGTCAACGTCCCCGTCAGAAAAACGTCCCCGTCAGAAAAACCGCGGGCGTCAACGTCCCCGTCAGAAAAACCGCGGGCGTCAACGTCCTCCTCAGAAAAAGTGTAGGTGTTAAAACACAGGTGTGACGCTCATGTCCACTACAAAGGAGTTTGCCCCAAGCCAGGCAGCAAATAAGCAGCTGTCCATTTCAAAGAGCTCAGAGACCATGGCTAAAGCAGTGGGCAGCAGACCTGCTGGAAGTGTGACCTCACACACACAACCACACGTGTTTTTTTGTACGTAGCTTTTTCTAAAACTCTAAAACTGAAAATGTTCCATCTTTGTGAAAGTACACGGACACAAACATGTCTGAAGATTTTCATTGTTATTGTGTTGTCATTACATGCTCTACTAGTGATGTCATTGTGTTTGAGACATAAGTAGTACTTTTGGTTTTAGAGACTAACAGATTTTTTTACGCTAGTTCAATAAAAGCTGCAACTTCTGTAGCACCAGTGCTATTAGCCAGAACATTAATGTACAGCTCGGCCCGGATTCTGCTCATGGTCTCACGTTAGTCAGAAAAACATGACTGTAGCCGGTTTCAGCCTGGTCCCAGCGCCGCTCACAGCTACAGGTTTTCCCACGATGTCAGATTGTTGGGTTTAGAGACAGCTCAGCTCTTTACTGATAAGACTGGAACTCCATTTACATTTGATCCTACCTTCAAAACCCTTTTACATCCTGGATGTGTTTGCTCTTTGCTCATAAAGTGCTGTTTGTTATCCGTCGCCTCACAGTTCACTGGTGTCAGCGGAGAGAAAACAAACCTGGGCAGGATCAACCCGAGCCCAGGAGAAGGTGGTTGAACCTGCAAAACTTCTGCATGGCTCCATTGCATCAACGACAGTTACCATTCTGCTAGGGAGCAAGTGAGGGGCCAGGAAATAGCTGACATTCACAACATTTCACAGTACAAACATTTTTATGTCCTCAGTCAGACCTGCTTTACATACGCCGTCTCAGAACTGGACCATCAAAGCCAACCTTCATGCCTTTGTGCTTTTATTTTGAAAGGGTGACAAAGTGAGAATTAAACTAGTGAGCAGAACCATACAAAATGTGAGAACACAAAGATCAACACGCCTGGCTTCCGTATGCATCGAGTGTAATCTGATTACACCTGACAAAGGCAGGAGGAGCAGAGCCAGCTGACAACGTGAACTTGTGAAGTGGAGCAAGGCTGCAGAGATGCTTCCTTCTGCAACAGCACTGAGATCTTGTCTAGGGTGTGGCTGCCAGGACACGGTATCTCCCGCCGCCTCCTTCCTGTAATCAGAGCCAGGAGCAGACACAAGAGCCTCACTGACGGTAGCTCCACGACCATTATTTACCCACTGGTGAATTAAAGATCAACCACGTCACTAAAGCCTAGTTTGATGGAAAAGTCCCAGAATTCCCATCATGAACCAGGTCTGGTTCCCGGAGCAGGCTGGCTCCTGCTCCATGGATTCTCTGGCTGTGGAACAGCAGCATCAGCACTGATTTTAAGGGTTAAAACATTTGTCAGATTAAACTGGATTATTGAGTTTCAGCAGGCTATGGGTGAAAAGGGGTGGAGCTTAGAGGACTGAGATCCAGGCTGGAACAAGAAGTTTTAATAGTTCATCTTTTATCTCATCCAGTCAGAGCCTTCCTGTGTCCCACAGAGGAGCGCTGAAGCCCACCCAGCGGCGTCTTCTCCTGCCCAGTGGGACACATGGACTTCTTATCCACTCTTCCCAAGTTCAGAACAGGATGAAAATATGCTTTATGGTCCCACAGTGGGAACGTGTAAAGTCAAATAAAGTCCACCTGAATCGATGTGGTTCTGAAACGTTCCTTACAACTGTTGGTGGATGGTGGGTCTACGGGTGTCTGCAGCAGGACTAAGTGACCGTTGTGTTGTTGCTGTTATTAGGAACACTTAGGTGCCCAAGTTAAAACATGGGGTTATTTTTAGAAGGATTCTTCAGCATTTTGATGAACCATCATTTCATCATGACTCGTCACACTCTGACTGGGAGAAAATAGCTTTGATTCCAGATGTTGAATTAGCGTGAACATATTTTAGGGACGGTTTTCTGCTCGTAGTGAATAAGCATGCTCCGGTAGGAAGACTCAGGATAAAAGGCAACGGACAACAGCTGGTCTAGAACGCAGTAATCTTTGCCCAGGAGGACATTTTTAGTAATCGGATTACTGAACACCCTTGTTGTTTGTACTTTTGTTTTACTTCCCCATTAGTTTTCCTCGTATTAGTTTTGTTTGTTAGTATTCCTGACCTGTGATTTAAGTTACTTTAGTAAATAAACCTGTTCGTCATTTTAACTTTTAAATCTTGCGTTATTGTCCACAAGCCAACACCACACGCACATGAGTGACCAAACCAAAGCAGCGGGGAGGAAAACTTGGTCTACAGCAGGACTGCACAATATAAGGAAAACCTGCGATATGCGATAACAGTGATTCATATTGCAATGACAATATTATGTGTGATGAATAAAAACTTCACTCAGGAACAAAAATAACCAAAAACAAAGACATTTTTTTAAATGACCAAAAAAATCATAAAAATGAGAAAAGCAAAAGATGTGAGGGAAGGGAAAAGAAAACGAACAAGAAAAGACAATCAGTGGATCCTGGGAAAAGCAGAATAGGCAGAAAGAGCGGGACTAAGCTAACTCAGGTGTTTGCTAACCATCAACATTAGGTGCCGTCCACCTCGGGGGAGGGGCTCTAGCCTATGAGAACCCACCCAATTGGCCGAATGGGTGAAGAGCTCTATTTGATGTGTTAAAAAACATCATGCTTCCATTTGCTTGACAGAAGGCATTCTGAGTAGGAAACATCTGAGCTGACCATTCATTACGATATTTATCTGCTCTTTGCAATATGCATATTGCACATGCCGATATCGCGATAACGATATATTTGCGATATATTGTGCAGCCCTAGTCTGGAATTACCTCTCAGGCAGCCTGCCCTCCCAAGCTCTACATGTCACCACAACACAGCCCACCGCATCACAATAAAAGCAGTGTTATACAAGATGGAAGGCCCGTAGTGATTATTCTCTTAATTTATTACATTTTTGGGGTATTTGAGATTTTCTGGTTTTTATTAATTGTGCAGCAGAAAAATACTTGTTAGATTAATCGTCTAACTAGTCATTAGAGTCATTCGATAAAATAATCGCCCGAATAACCGTTTTAAATATAACCGTTTACCCCAGCACTACTTCCTACATAAGCTCCCTACTCTAAATGAAAACGGCTGCTCGCTACCCTCTTCGCCTGCTTGCTGGCCCATTTGAACGCGATGAACTGGGAAAGAGCTTTAGCCCACTCAGCACCGGCAGCTTGGAATGAGCTGCAGGCTAAATAGAAGACGACGGATGTACTTCGCCGAGTGTTTTTAAGAGTTCTTGAAAACAATTCATTGACATGCAACAGTTTTACTTAGATTGTTTTAAGGTTTTAAATCTACTCGTTTCTTTGTTGTTGTTGTTGTTGTTTTAGATATTTTACTTTAGCTATTTTTATTATATTTTTAGTTCTTTATACGGGTCTTAATTGAGTAAACTTTGTTTCCGTGTATTTATGGGATGTCTGCTGCAGGACTCCCTTGAAAAGAGGTTTTAAATCTCAATGGGTTTTTTCTTGGGGAAATAAAGGTTAAAAACAAACATCTCCACAATCACAGACCAGCACCTAAAGTTTAGATTCAATTCAAGTTTATTTATAAAGCGCCAAATCACGACAAGAGTCGTCTCAAGGCACTTCACATAATAATCATTCCAATTCAGGTCAGTTCATTAAGCCAATCAGAAATAATGTTTCCTATATAAGGAACCCAGCAAATTGCTGTAAAGTCACTGACTAGTGTCAGTGTCTATAAAGCAATCCTCATACTAAGCAAGCATGCAGCGACAGTGGAGAGGAAAACTCCCTTTTAACAGGAAGAAACCTCCAGAGAATCCTGGCTCAGTATGAGCAGCCATCCTCCACGACTCACTGGGGCTTAGGTTCCCTCCTGCAACTCCTTTGGACCCGTCTGTGTCCACCAAGGAGTATAGGTTTTTCTACACAGCGCCTGAAGATGAAGATCACGAGACGCTTCACCAGAACAACGCAAATAAAACGATTAAAAAGGAGAACACGAAAAAGGAAAATCACAGGAACTCAAAAGTACAGATCTGACAGCTTCAGTAGCATGGAGAGAGTCTAGCGAGGAAGAGAACGCATGAACAGGTGAGTTTAAAGGAGACCACTGAGTCCACTGATCTAAGGCTCAGGGGGAGAGAGGTCCAGGGTCTGGGGGCCACAGCAGCAGATGATCTGTCACCTTTGACCTTTAGCCTGGTGCTGCACAACCAGTAGGCTTTGATCACTGGACCTCAGGGACCTGCTGGGGGTGTAGGGACTAAGAAGATCACCAATGTAAGATGGTGCTTGTCCATGTAAGGCCCTGTAGACCAGAACCAGGATCTTGAA